GGCTTGTCCGCAACTTTTTGGCGGTCACTGTATATAGAGAGATTAGAGAGTTTTACGTGTATATTATGTGAAAATCATGGTTACAGTAAATGGAAATTCAGTTCTAACGCACCATTAGCAAGAATTGTCGCCACCAAGTCGTGGGGCTCTACCATTCGTGCTCCTGTCACTTTATTAATGACAGTTTGTCTTCCAGCTTTCTTGAGCATGCTAAATGTGAATGCACTGGAATGTTGAAAAAGGTAAACATGCTACATGAGTTGCAAAAGCCTCAACAATGAGAAAGTCGGACACCGTTGAAATCAACGAACGCGAATGAACTACAATGGAAAACTACAAGTACTCTTCACATAAAACGAGTGCAGCAATAGCAAGTTCAGGAGCTTGCATGCAGGTGCAAAATCATTGTTTTAACATCGCTTTTGTAAACTTGCTCTAAACCATGTGAGCCCTCTTGCACATATTAAACTTTTATTTTCACTGAGACATCAATTCTAATTTACACAAAAACCTTGGAAAACCGGGTGAACTAGAGACTGGCTGATTATGGTCAAACCAGTCTGCTACACTGGGCATAATGACCAAAAGAATACAAAACTCTCACATAAAGATCACTTGAAAATTTCTACAAAACTGAGATGTGATAACAAATCAAAGCTCTTCGCATAGGTAAAATGGTACAAAAAAAATGATTATTGAAACCTAGATAATTCCATTCCATGAGAAGTAAAAGAGATATTTGATGTTGAACGAAATGAGAAGATGTAGGCATAAACAGCGTTCTCTCGACATTGCCCTACTGCCGTTTCTCGTCCTGAGGTACGCTTGTGTACAGGCCATGTAATGGTTGCTTCTCCTCGGGCAAATCTGAAAATATCACTGTTATCAATGACAGTGAATGACACAGGCCACTACGATGATGGGCAAACAAAGGTTAAAGATAAGCGCATTCTAAAACATGGCATTCACATGCACACAACGGTGGTACTGGAATGAAAATAAAAACCTTAGGGAAAGTGAGAAGCAAACGAATTAGAGAATTTCTGAAAGCAGCAATCATTCACGGTTTGTGTTTCGATCCCAAAGAAGTAGCAGTTTTCCACACACACCAGAGCAGCTGTTCAGCAGATAGAGCGATGGAGAAGATAGTTTATACACGAAAGAATTTCAAGCAGCGAAAAATGTGAAGGGAGAAAGGGTCGGTGAATATCAAAACCAACCATCGTGAACTTTGCTATCATTGGAGGCAAAATTTGGTGGAGGCATTGCTAAAACAGGATCGAAACTGCCTTTTGGACTCTGCAAGAGCTTACTTACCTATTGACATGTTGCGCATTGGATGAATGCGATCGTGAGCGATAAGGTCATCTTTGACGTAATGATATACGATGCCAGCACCAAAAGCATCCCCAAGTACGTTAATCGAAGTACGAATTCGATCTCTGCAAAAAAGAAAAGTCAGTGAAATTACTATAGTACTTCAGCGATCGTATTTGCTGATATTTTTACCTTATGTGACATCAGAATTTCTTTCGGGAAAGGCAAACGAAAAAAAATTTTCTTGGTAGTGTTACGTAATATAGAACAAACACCAATCATTTCTACCACAAGTCACAAATTCTGTTTTATCGGCTATCCAAGTTTATCAGTGTCTCTCCTAACAAAATTTGTGTCTTGTGTTGTTTAAATTTTGGACACCTTTAATAACTCACAATAACCAGTCAACGGCCACAATCAATGAAACGTCTTTCACTGGCAAACCCACAGCAGTCAACACCAACAGCATCGTAACCAGACCGGCTGAAGGTACGGAAGCAGCACCAATTGAAGCAAGTGTAGCAGTCAAGCTGAATTTTTGTCATCAATCAACATAAATCGAGTAGCAGATTTGCCGCACCTGACAGTGACTACTTGTCCAAATGATAAATTGATGCCATTCATTTGAGCAATAAAAATGGCAGCAACAGCTTCATACAAGGCTGTTCCATCCTGTAATGGTATCTTTGTTCATTTTATACATAGAAACACAGCAGATCTCTTGGCCACGCACTTCTATTGCATGAAGTTTGCAACTATTGGAGGTGATCAAAGGCAGTGGATCGGCAAAACTTAACAACTCAGAATTTT